CCGCGCGCCTGCACCCCCGCTCCGGGGCCCCGTGCGCCTGCACCCCCTGCTCCGGGGCCCTGTGCGCCTGCACCCCCTGCTTCCGGACCCCGTGCGCCTGCACCCCTGCTCCGGGACCCTGTGCGACTGCACCCCTTGCTCCGGGACCCCATGCGCCTGCACCCCTGCTCCGGGACCCCGTGCGCCTGCACCCCCTGCTTCCGCACCCTGTGCTCCGCACTCCCTGCCCCTGGACCCCTGGGCTCGCGATCCCTTGCGCCCCCAGCACCACCCCGCTCCCAGGACCCTGGGAACTCCGTGTACCCCAGCACTTCACCCCTGCATCCTGGCAACCCTGCCTCTGCATCCCGGGACTTCCAGGGACGCTTCTGCATCCCCGAATCCCAGCCCCTGCACCCCAGGAGGGCCATACACCCTAGCACCGCACCCCTGCACCCTGGGACCCCTGTCCCTACATCCGGGAACCTCCAGGGATGCTCTTGTATCCAGCACTCCACCCCTGCACCTCAAATTCCCCAGAGATGCCTGGGCCCTGCACCCTGCCTTCAGTGTGTCCACACAGCTCCCTCCACCCTGGTGGCCAGGGCCCTGCACCCCCAGGACCCTGTCCTGGTGCTCTCATGCGCTCCGCTCAACACTCCTGTAGCCCATGACTCCCCCCTAAGGGTCGCTGCCCTGCCATACCCCCCGGCCCCTCCCCTGCCAGGTCCTGCCACCTCCTCTGTTCCTGACCCCCCACAGGACCCCTGAGACTCGGGATGTCCTCCCCCATCTCGGCCCTCCCTCGCAGTGGCCTCACCCCTAGACCTTGAGCTGCAGAACTTCCCCCTTTCCCTGCCTGAGACCACCAGCCCTCGGGTTTCCACTGGTCTCTGCCTTGTTGGGAGGTTCTTCTGTGACCCCTCAGCCCTGACCTGCCGAGGTCCAGGGTGCCCCCCTCAGACACCTCCTGCCCACGCGGCCCCTCCCAGGTGCCAGCCAGCGCCCTGGTGCCTTCGTCTGGCCTGCCGTCCCCCCTCATCTGGGGCAGGCCCCCTCTCCACCCAGGTCTGCCCTGCCCCGCCCCAGGGTCACCTGTGTCCCAGGAAAGGGGCTCCGTGCGCTGTGGGGACCTGGCTGTCCTCCCCGACCCCAGCTCCCTGGGGCCGGCAGGGGGGCCGGGTGCCGCGGGGATCCTGTCCAGACACAGCGAGTTGCCCTCGGGCTTCCTGGGGGAGGGGTGGGGGCCGATCCGGGCACTGGGGGCCTGTGGGCGTGTGCCAAAGTGGTGTGCGGGTGGGCGGAGGAGACAGGTGGGTGGGGTCCGCAGGGCCCAGAGGTCAGAGCAGTGGGCAGGGGGGAGGGTGCCCGAGGGCCTGACCCGCCCCGGGTGGGATGAGCCAGTGGCTGTCGGCAAGGCTTGGGCTGGGTGCCTGGCGGGGAGGCCGGCCTGGGTCTGGGCCGAGGGGCGCGTCCCTGTGCAGGGGCTCCCGGGCGGGAGGGGCTGGGGGGCGGGGAAGATGGGGGGCCCTCCCAGCTGCAGTGCACAGACCCCACAGGTGCTCCCGCCCGGGACGGGCCGCTGCGAGTGAAGGGGGGCAAGGGACGGGCGCCCGTGGGTGTGGGGCGGGAGGCCGCCGCCGGGCGTGCGGGACCAGGCTCCGAGTTCCACGGACAGGAGGACACGGGGTGCAGGAAGGCCAGCTCCGGAGCACTCGCACTGCACCTGAGTTTAGAGCGGTGGCCAGCTGGCACCTTGAGGCAGAGGCGCTGGGCCCCACCGGCCGGCAGCACAGTTCGAGTCCTGGACCCGGCAGCTTGAGACGCGGCTCGCGTGTGTGGCACGCCTAAATCCCCAGAGGGTGGAGGGCGAGGTGTCCCTGTCCCCGGGCTTCTCACTGTCCCTCTCCGGTGAGCGCAGGCCCTCGGCAAGCTGAGACGGCAGCTGGAGGGAAGGGAGTAACGACTTTGGGACAGGGGACCCCTCCCAGGGGCCTGGGCCGGGTCGCTGATGTGAGGAAGTCAGGGTGGGGTTCCCGGCCTGCTGGCCCAGGCCTTCCTGCCACTCGGCTCAGCTCCCGACCCGGGGCGCACCGTTACGGCCCGTGGGTCTCTGCAGCTGAGGTCTTTAGGGGCTGAGCTGGCGGGTGCACCATGGCGGAGGGAGGTGGCGGAGACCCTCTGTCCCTGGGCCCTGGGGGAGCCGGCCTGGTCATGGGGTGCTGGACCTCACCCCTGCCCCACAGCCGGTGTGCCTGGTGTCATGGGAAGTCGCCGAACCCCGGTCCACTGAGGGGCTGGGGCCCATAGGCAGCAGCCAGCCCGTGCTCACTGCGACAGCGCCCAGTGGGAGGGGCTCGTGCCCAGCGCGGACCCACGTCCCACAGGCCTGGTGGGGCGGCCGGGGCCCGTTGTGCCCTGGCACTGGCTGGGATGCGCCTCGGTGGTGG